TGATGATGGTTCACAGCACGTGTATTCAGCTGGGATGAATCTACTAAAAGAGTTACTTTATATCCCAAATCCTTGCAGAGTATTTTTGCCCTTATGTTTAATAAAAGAGGTTTTCTCTCAGAGAAAATTTTGTCACTCATTTTTCTTTATCAATATTGATCACACCTTCTTATCTTTCGGGAAATTTTCAGATCTCTGAAAGGAAATCACGGCACCATCCACTACTGAACAAAGTGTGCTTCATTAAGAGCAAACTGCTGGTGAGTCATACCCTGAAAGTGAGTTGTTCCTTTTGAGCAGGATAATTACATGGGTGCTTCAGAAGAGAACCCAATCAAACTCTTATTGTATTGATGTATTTCCCTTTGGAACAGAGTTTTCATTTTCAGTCCAGAAAAAAATAATATTAAGCTTGTAGACTGCCATATATAGGTGGACTTTAACAAGTGATACTGAAGATATACAACTACTTCATTGACTCCTGAGTGTAATTTAGTTGCATTTCCTTGAATTACCTAGAATATCACACTAATAAACCATAGTATTTCTTACACAACATTCATGACAACCCTAGCACTTTTCCTAAATGGTCTCAGTATATAGTTATAATATTATCCATAAAAGATTATAGATTTGAGGAAAAGGTCCTTTTCACAAACTCAGATTCTCCTATATTACTAGAAATTGTGGGAAAAAATTTACTTTCAAATAGCCTAAATTTATTTTACATTTTTATTTTAGCTAATATTCCATAGAAATACATTGAGTACTGTAATGACTTTACTACTGAATTCTGCAGAAAAAAGTCCCAAATAGTTTTAAAATCAGATGCTTCAAATTTTAAACTGGTGTGCAGCTTCTTGTAAAGTAGAGGAAATGATGAAAGGCATCACCTTTATCTGATTGAAAGACATCACATTATCCTATTTTTTCAGCTTTGGTTTGTTCTACTCTCAGCCCAAATCACAGACATTCTTCTAGATATAGGACCATAATATGCAATGATTTTTTGAGTACACTATTTATTTAATTACATCCTATTCCATGGCAAAAGACTCTGGATGCCATCTTAGGTTCTTCCTCCCTGATTGCTCTGCTCTGGCCACTCTTCTCCTTGGTTGGTTCCCCCCTCCACCCAGTACTGCAGTCTCCTCAACCTCTCCACAGTAACATGACCGGGCTCAGTTGGAGGGGCAATTCTCTCTATCTCTGCTGATTCTCCTGGTGATGTCAACTCTTCTCGAGGCTTTAGGCTCAATCTATATGTTACTGACTCCCAAACCTATATCTCTAGTCCTCAACTCTCTCTTAGATTCCAGACTTTTATATCCAATTCCCTATTTGACTTCTCTTGAATTTCCAATAGTCATCTCTAATTTATGTCCCAAGGGACTTTTATTTCTTCTTCTTCTCCTCCTTCTTCTTCAAAACCTGGTTCTCTTGCTGTTTTCCTATCTCAGTAAATAGCAATACCATGTTTTCACTTTCACCAACTCCAAACTTTGGAATTCTCTATTCTCTTTCACATTTTACCTACAATCTATCAGCAAATCTTCTCAGCTCTCCCTTCAAAGCATGTCCAGAATCTGAATACTTCTCAGCAACCCAACTACCACAGTCCGGGTCCAAGCCACTATCATCTCACCTGGCATGTGCAGTGGCCTCCTGACTGCCTCCCTGCCTCTGCTCTTGCTCCTAGGTGTATTCTTAATGCGGTGACCAGAGTAGTCCTGTGAGAATGTCAGCCCATGTCACTCCCCTACTTGAAACCCTCCAATGGTGTCCTTCCATTCAGAGTAAAAGACAGTCCTTCTAAGGCCCTAAGAAGCCTCCGTGCCACCTGTTCTGTGCCAGCCCATCTCTTTGACTTCATCTTCTACTACCTCCTCCATCCATCCCTCACTCTCCTCCCTGTTCTTCAAACCCTCCAAGTACTCTCCTGGCTTTGGGCCTTTGTTACTCACCTTCCCCTCTACCTAGGATGCTCTTTCCATAGATATCTGCAGGGTTTACTCCCTCTTCTCCTTCAGGGTGTTACTCAAATGACATCTGCTTTATTTTCTCCTTAGTACTAAGCACTGTATAATATACTATAAGTTTGCTTATCTATTGCTCCCACTGGAATGTAAGCTCTAGGCAAGGCAGAATTTTTGTCTATTTTATTTACTACTGTATCCTCACTACTTATAATAGTGCCTGGCACCCAGTATATACTCAATGAATAATTGTAGAGTGAACGAGTAAATGATGTCTTGTCATCTCACAAAATTGCCCCAGTAGACTGAAGATGGATGGATGGATGGATAGATGGATGGATGGACAGAGCAAGCCTATACATAGATAGGCTGGTATAATCTGTCACTACCACTCCCCAGCCCCTACTCCGGGAAAAGCAGCACAAGCACCAATATAGAATTACAGACAGAACTTCCCATTTTAGGCTAAGGACAGCATATAATCATGTTACATTTCATATTTCTTAGAAATTAAGTATTAATAATACCTTTCATTTGAACATCTTAAAATGTGTTTTAAAAAAAGCGGACCATAATTACAGGTACTTGTGCATCATTTTGAACATCAAGTAGTGGTAGGAGGCTTAATGGATTCAAGATCTCACTGGCTTGTGACACCTTTGTATTGGAAAAGGAAATGCAAGAAGAATCCAAGCAGCAGTTTGACATTTACAATATGTCACTTAAGACTTAGAAGGACTATTGTTGTCTTGCTTATTAGCATAAGAAAAAAGTGAAATGACTTGTAGACTATCAACAGAGTGCTGTGGTGACCTTGGGCCAGTCAGTTACCTCAGTTAACTTCACTTGCTTCTTCCTGTCTGCTCAACACATCACAGTTGAACAGACTGCTCAGAGCAGGCTCCCAGAAGGAAGTGGGTTTCACTCTTGGCACTTTTTTTCTTAACCAAAAGTGTTTTCCTGAGGTCAAAGTGTGAGTACCACATATGCTTTGTGTTGACCATACTTACAATCTAAAGACAAGTGTTCCTTGTGAGACTGAGCCCCTACTGAGTTGCCAAATCCTGAGAATGTGGCTTTGGTGTCCTGGTCTCCTGATGGCAAGCCCCTAGCACCCCAAACCCCCTTTTCTAATGCCCAGGACCCTCACTCTTCTTTCTTTCAAAACTAGCACACAGGAAAGCTTCTGATTACAGCTTAAACAAGCTGCCTCTTCTAAGATTGTTACAGGTCCTTTTGGAGAGATCAAAGGCAGAAGCAAAATGAAGTGCCAGTGCTGAAGTTTCAGGAGTCAACAAGCCCAGCTTCTGTGTTTGGGGAGCAGGACTCTGACTGCCTACACCCTGGAGACAGCACCGAGTAGGCCAAATACTCACAACCCCGGCACCCCAAGCATCTCCAGCACCTCACTGCTCTACTCATTAAAATAAACTCTGCCCCAGGGGTCGAAAGTCTGAAAGAAACTCCAACAGGCGTTATCATATATACACAGACTTTTGGAGGAACTTAGGAGTCATTTAGTCTAACCCTCTCATTTTACAGGTGAGGAAATTGAGGTTTCTGCTGTCCTGTGAGCCTCTCAGTGCACATTCCACATCTTACTTTTGTCTGTGCTTGGAAATGACAGACTGCATTTCTTGCAAAAGAATAATTCAACGTAGTCATTCAACATATCCTCTTAGTCAAAAGCGGTGATATTTGATTGAGCTTGTCAACCAGGATGCTCTAAAAATGCTCATGTTCTAGGAATACAAATCATATAAACTTATAAGGAAATTTTCAAGTTGGACCTGAGAGGAATTAACCTGTCATCTGCTTCCAAATTGAAGTATCCCATGATCTCAGGCACCAAGTGGTAAATCAGTGTTACCTGTTTGAGGGAAAAAAAAAAAAAAGCAAAGGTGTGGGGAGGTGTGAGTTTTAGCGCAGATTTCGTCATAATCTAGCCATTTAACTTTGGGCAAGCACCTCATCTTTTGGGGAGATAAAAACCCTCCTAGTAAGTAACCAAACTTACTATCATCCGCTAGGACTTGGCAGAGAGATGAGCAAAGCAAATGGGCCATAACTTTACTTTAAAGGTGAAATGCTCTCTGGTTCTGTGTCTCATCGATCAGAGGCTTGGAGAAAGAGATGTCTGGGAAGGCTGAGAGCACATTTCTGCTACCCCTAGACTTTTTGTGGCCAGAAAATGGACACTAGGATGGAAACCAAGAACCTTCCTTCCCCCAAACCAATTTCAGTGGTAGACACATGATCCATACTTGGACAATGATAGTACCTACTGCCTTAGCAGCAGAAATAGGGCCAAAGGATAGCCAAGCAGATCCATGCTCAGATTTCCTCAGATTGGTATACAGATCTTGGGAAACAGGAGTCCTTTTCTCTAGAGTTTATAACCTGGGTGATGCAAGCATGAATTACAGTGGCTGTTTCCTTTCGGCACACAGAGGAAGACCATCTAAAGGAACAGCAATGAGCCCAGCACAGAGATAAGCAGAGCAAAAGAAGAGACAGTGTTCCACTGATGTTGTCTAGTTCCTGGATCCAGCCATGCCTGAAGATGCTTGACTTGAAAAATTCTCTTTTCTGCCTGAACTAGCTGTAGCTGGATTTCTGTCACTTTTGATCAAAAGAATCCTGAGTAATAAATCCTCTAATTTTTCATATGAGGAAAGTGAGGCTCACATGGAAGGAATGATTGACTCAAGGTTACACAGCACATTGGGGACAAAATCTGGACCTGAAATCAGATCTACTGATTTCCATTCCAATGCATTTTCTACTGCACTCTGCTTCATATACTCTATCTTGCGAATTATTCAACATTTTTTGAATGATAGTACAGGTCTTTTTCCATACCATACGGCATCATGGCAAAATCCACTTATTTAAGCAAAAGATGGAGGACGGACAATTTATCAAAGATTCCATGATATGAGAAGAGAGCTTACACTAACTGATTTCTGTCTAGGTTAGTCCAAATAAAAAATTCAACCATATCAGGGTCAAAGGTATAAACCATGTACTTGATTTTTTTTCTTTTTTCTTTTTCTTTTCTTTTTTTTTCTTTTTTTTTTCTTTTTTTTTTTGCCAGTGGAACATCTACTGTATTCCAGGCACAGAACAGGGTCCTTTATAAATGTTTTCATGTGCAGCTGACTCATACTGGGCTTCATGCATAGTTGAAACTCAACAGACATAGGAAGGAAGGAAGGCAATAAAGGAGAGAAAGAGGAAAGAAGAAGAAAAGTAAAGTGGGTTTTAAGTAAAAATTGTTTTTTCTACTGCTCAACAGAGCATATATTTAATTAGTATCTTATAGTAATCGCAACACATGTCCATGAAACCTAGTCTGCTGTGCAACTACAGCTTTTCCTAAATTAAACAGAAGAAACTGTGAGAAAAGAAACCTCAAGTTAGAGCCTCAGACCACAAGCCTATCTTAGGAGGACTGAACATTAGGAGCAAATGAAGTAGCAGAAGATGATGACTCCCGATAATTGTCCTAATTGTAGCAGTTCCGTGAAGTGTTATGACATGGCTCAGTCACAATCAGTAATACTCATTTACAAGGTCTGTGGAGTAAACTGTGTGAAAGTGGGCAGTTCTGGGATTTAATAACACAATGAACAATGCTTTAGAAAACCTAAATGCTTGATGACGAATAGATGTTAAGATTATTTTGTTTGAATTATTGTTTAGTATAAGTTATATCATTCTTTGTGATCAGACTTTTAAAACCACAAACAGGATGCAGACAATTGGAAAAAAAAAGTTTCAGAGTCAGAAAATAAGATGGTCATCAGGAGGATGTGCGTTGCCTGGCTTTGTAAAAGTACCCAGCCACATTCAAACTTGCTCTTTTCTAGTTTTAATTCAGTAATGAAAGACAACACGCTGAAAGATTCCTTAGTACCATAATCACACAACTGAAGGGCATCTTTTACCATGTTATATAATTTAGACATAAAAAGGAAGAGGGGGAGAGATTTCACTATCAACCTCATCAAATTAGCAAAACAGAGTATACTATGTGAATTACTTGTTAAATAAGTTTTTCTTTAGGTAAGAAATCCTCGGCCTAACTCTTAGGGTAATCTAGACATCAATAGTTTCCATCAATGGTTTTATATTCCAGGCAGAATACATTATAATCACTATTTTTGAACTTAAGAAATATTGGTAAAATTTTACTTAAGAATGACTTTTATTAAGATTCACTGATGGCTCCGATGTCAACCTGCCATGCTATTTACTACTGAAACGTTTATAACATGAGTGCGTGGTTCACTGTCCAGCAAATTGCTCACTGGTTTCCTGTGTTTATTCTTCCATCTGTATGCATTTAAGGCTGGCTTTGCCAGTCAGCAGTTTGCAGTCTTTTTATGAGGCAGCTACAACAGCACCACATGCAATCTTCATCATTCATTCTTTAATTCAAACATCCATTCAAAAAATATATGCCATTCACTGTTTGAGACTCTGAAAAGAGAAGTGGACCAGATAAAAATGGTCCCTGCTTTTGGAGCTTTTATTCTTGAGAGAGGAGACCAATGAATACGTGAAAAAGAAGATTTTAGAGGTTGGTAAATGCTATGGAGAAAAGAAAATAGGTAATATGATAGAGAGTGTGGGAGGAAGGCAGTATGAATAGGGGCATTTAGAAAAATCCTTACTGAGAAGGAGACATCTGAGCTCAAACCTGGATGACAAGAAGGAGCCAGCCTGCATTTTCCAGTCTGAGGGAATAGCAGGAGCACAAAGAACAGACTGGCATTCTACAGAAGAAACAAGTCAGTGCGACTGTGAGCATGCGTGATGAGGCTGAGAGCAGAGGGTCCCAGCATGGGCCACAGGGGCAGGCCAGGGGGATCAGAAACTCTGTGCCAAGGGTTTGGAGAACACCAAGGGTCTTCAAGCAGGGCAGTGATATCCGATTCATATTTTTAAAAGATCACTCTGACTGCCAGTGGGTGATGGACCATAGGGTAAAGCTTAGGAGCGAGGAGGGCTGCTGGTTCTGTTTTTGTCGTTTGGATTCTATGCAGGGGAGGCAGGCAGAGCAGGTGAGTGGGGTTGTAATCCAGTTTTTGCACCACTCACCAAGCCCTGTGTCCAGCATGGGGCTACACTGACCTGTAGAAAGGGGTATCTTTTTCTACCACACATAATGCTCCATATAGGTAGGAAGCAGCCCCACTAATGAGAACGGGGCGGAGGGGGGGGGAAGATACTGTAATAGTCTTTGCAAGGATAACAGTTAAGGTGGAGCAAGACAAGTGGGTTTTGCATATGTCTGAAGGAAGAGCTGGCAGGACTTACTGATGGATTAGATGTGAGGGGTGAGGGGATAGGAGAAATCAATGGTGATCCTTAAACCCATGGGGCCTGGTGCTGTCACTGACTGAGGTAGAGAAAACTGGGAGTAAACCAGATGTTTGTTTGTGTATTTGTTGGTCTTTTAGGAGAGGGGTCCAGAATTCAGTCTGGGCTAGGACTAGTCTAATATACACGTTAGATATCTTTTAACAGTCAGATTTATGAGTTAAGGAAATTTTTGGTTCCATTAAGTGTAACTCAACAATACAAAGAAATCACAGCCTCTTCTCAGATCTCCTTCATGATTCCTGACGCACGAGGGGATGGGGGCAGGTGGAGGAAGGGAACTAGAGTTAACCCAGTCTGGGATTCTTCAACTGAGGGAAGAATTGAAATAGATTCAATCTCTCAGATTTCCACCTCATCACTCCTTTCTTCCTCAAGATGGTAGGAGCCCACGGTGCACTCCCAGCAGTACCTGGAAGGAGTCTTTGTGCCTTTTGGTCCCTCTCCCTCGTCTGGAGTCTACCGCAGTGCACCCTGTTTGCATTTCCCTGGTCACTGCTTGCCCCATTGGTGTACCCTGCTGAAGCTGGCAGCCAGTGGCTTTGTGAGAGCTCGGTGAAGGCTCTGGGACTCCCTGGCTGACTCAGCCTCTTTGTCAGCTGGCCCTATACACTCCCTGCCACATGTTCTACCCAGCTCCTGGCCCGAACGCACATCATAGCCCTATGGACGTTTACTAGCTCTCTACTCAGCTGTGGTCCATGGACACTTTGGAAACACATGGGAATTTCTGAGTCCCATCCTCACTACGTGGGAACTGAAGGTAGCTTTAGAGAGCTACCATCCAGCGCCATCTCTGCCTGACCATGCCACACCACTGATTTCACTCTGATATGTTTGTCCACCATCTGTACCCCACCACCCAGACTGGCATAAGGGTCAGAAGAGTGATGTTTTCTTAGCCTCCAAAGTAAACTGGACAAAAACTCACAGCATTGCACTTAAGAGCTATAACACACCTCCCCCTGCTTGGGCAGAAGTTCGGAGAGGGAAGATTAGCACTCAAGTGTCTGCCTCTTCTGCCCCACCTTCTTTCCCCCACAATCCCTTGGTACCAGAAGAGGTGGGCTTCCAACTTCCATTCATCCTGGTCCATTCTTCTCCTGCCCTGGGGCAGCAAGCATCACAGCCTAGCGAGCAGAGATGGGGAGAGGGCAAGAGGAATGTTCTCTTCATATATGGAATTCGACTGTATTGAAGGATATAAAAATTCTTTCCAGTCACCTTGCTACACCTTGATGGCTGAGGGATTACGGGAAATGGTATATGACTATTCACAGGGAAACAAAATCTGGACCTTTTTAAATATGGTACACTTATAACACAAGTTTGTAGCTCACTGCAGTTGTCAGTGCTGGAGATACAACTGAGAGTGACCAGCATGTGGGTGGTGTAAAGCCAGGACTAAAGGAGAGCATCTAAGTCATGGCACAGAAGAGCCAAGAGCCCAAAACTGAGTGCTGGAGTGTGGAGAGGCTGGAC